AGTCACCAGTCAAGCTGCGAATTAGAAATATGATAGCCATAAGGAGATTTTTTGTCAGGAATTTAAGGCACAAATCAAAACAATAAATAGCGCTTGACAACGACTAAAACGGAGAGTTTAGTATGGGACAATTCAAAGAATCCTGATCTGAGGCCCTTGCTTTGCCAATCTTCGTCTTTACATCTGCATCTGATCTAGGCCTGTTCATACTTATACATTTACTCCAGTTTGATATATTAGTTTCAGAATGTGGAATGAGATGAGTAAATTGCAGTGAACACGGTGATTTGCAGAAATCAGTCGTCATTTTCAGAAATGCTATTTATCCATCGATTTTGTTCACCATGTTCTCCATACTATTCTCATTTCCATCAACCACTAGCCAAATTCTCATTTCAGGTGAACACAGATTTATAGACATTCAACTTCAGACCCTACGATCCTTTATTGCACCAATGTGATGATCATGAATAACTAATAATTAATTCATATTAACGGTTAATATTGTTAAATGAAAGAAGAAATTTGTGATTTGTTATTTTGACAGTAAATTAATTGTTACAACATATGAGTAAATGAAACATGAGTGAAGTCCAGATCATCATTCCCAAATCCATATTCATTTACTTTGAATATTCACCTAAAATTCAAAAGGAAACATATGAATAATTAGTAATATAATAAGTCACACAATTCCACCTGGAACCCCTCTGAGGCTACTACCGGTCCCAAGCCCGGATAAAGGAGGAGGGTTGGGCATGGGGTTAGCGACTCCATCCTGTAGAAAACTAGCTCGCTAAAAAAAAGTGCTAACCAGAGAAAATTAAGTATGATAAGTCACACAAGTGTACATTTGAAATGAATGATTTGACAATAGTGAAACGGTCTAGTAGATCTTGATCATCATGTATGTATTCATAGAGTCACATATATTGTAGATCCCACTGAAGCCATGGAACAGAAAATCATCATGTGGTCATGTATGAACTGGAATAGTAAACATTTATCCATATTTACTATTCACTAGACCGTATGTCAAGCAACTATTTTGACACAGACATTTCAATTCAACAAGAATCATGTGTTGTATCTAATCAATTGACCTGTAGTAGTTTGTAACTCCATTTTGCTTACTTCCATTATCCAAGCACACAATATATTTCGTCTTTATACAGCACTATTCCATCGAATCTTGTTTCATATAACCACTCTCAGCAAATTTGATTCAATAGGGTTACTCACTTGTCAATTTGATTGCTTGTGACAAAAATCTATGGTTAACTAAAATTTGAGAAAATGAATTAAATCATCAAATGACTGAGTGTTTATTCACTTCAACAGTCATCTCATCATCGATGAGGAGACAGAGAAAAAAAAAGGGTGATTGTTTCCTGTTTATGTCACATCTATGATTTGTATGAGCAATTGTCCGATACATGTTACTGGTTTAACAATGTTAATGTGAATACTTGTAATTTCTTTGCTTATTCCATGCTGTCAAGTTATTCTGCAATGTGGAACGCGATCTCACAATCTTCACCTTGATATTTAAATTGAGAATCGTCACAAATATGGTGGGTCAGTTGCACAATAATATTCGAATTCAGATTAGTCTCAATAGACTGTTTAATGTTATTCATGGCATCAGTGTCTTGATGAAGTTGTAGTGACTCACATTTATCACGAGAACACGACTGGTTTAATAAAAACAATTATTATTATAACCAACTGTACCAGTGTTTGTTTTAATGTGCTTTTGTTTGACTGTGCTAATGACAGCTATATTGTGCTTCCATTCTTTTACTTACACTTTTGATTGTAACTTCGCGCGAATTCGGTTACGTTCTGTAACCAAGCTTGTATCCTGGCACGATCTCGGTATCCTTTCGATACCACGAGATCGCCAACAAATATATCTCGACTTGGTCCATTAATTGTCTTCTGATATTTGGCTTCTCGGGGATTTTATGGATTTATTTGGTTACGTTCAACCTTCGCCTTCTGATTTATTTGGCACGTGGTATTTGGTAGCGGTGTTCATAGTTAACCTCAACTCGACACCACGCTACAAAGCTTTGCAGACTAGAGTTTGTGGATAATCATTGTTTAATCAATTACATATATGGACCTGACACAATTACTGGATAAATCAATCAAAAAATATTCAAATGTTTTATCTTACAGAACTTAATGTTCAATTCTTCGACATCATAATATTTCCAACGAATAATCTGATCTATTTCTCTTATACCTGAAAAAGACAAAATAATTCCGATTAGGAAAACATCCATAAATAATTAAGGCCAAAGTAACGATAACGATAAGACGTACTTCTTTTATACGCATAGTTCTGGTTGAAGCTCCTGGATTGTAAGAGCTTCGGCTGTTTTTAAGAGTTGGATACGAAGAAATCTGGGTAGATTTGAACGAATCATATAAACAACATTAAAATCAGATTGTGGATCTGTAGAATGGTTACAGTCGATTAGGTGTTCAAGTATGGAACTCCTAACTGTTTTCCTCTTACCCTTATAGAACCAAGCTGAGATATGTTCCCGTATCCGAGTTGAAAGCGAGCGCTGGCTATGGTCAATGTACCTTGCTCCACAAGAGCAGGTACAAAAGAAGTACGTCTTATCGTTATCGTTACCTTGGCCTTAATTATTTTGATTATTCAATTATTATTATTATTATCATCCACAAATATTGTTTATTTGATGATATCATTTAACGTGTTTTCAGTATCGAACTAATTCAGACCACTGTATAATAATACTAGATGGAATGCGAAAGAATAACAAAGAGTCACATTGATCTCTTTACCATTTCCCCATATTCTCACCTAATAGTCAATGTGATTGTGAATATTTAGTCCTTGAAATCAAAATAATGACTTCATCTTTGATTCCATTGACTTGATTTGTACTGTAACATGAAATACTTCGTTCATAAGTACTACACCCATTGTTATTCATTTTGAGTTGCAATGCTACTGGAGGTGATGAAGCTTCTGTCTCATTTCGATACCTGATTACATAAACGTATTACTAAACAGGACATAGACGGTTCTATGATTTCCTGATTGAGGGAAATCCAGTTCAGCGTCGTAAAGAAAGGCAAGTAGATATTTTAGAATACACGTTTGTAATGGTGAGTATGAGTTTCGGTAAGGAATGTCAGGTTATGTCTGTCATATTCAATAACATCAAGAGAGACAGTTTAAATATGATTACCTTTCGTTCTGTATGGTATCAGTCCATTACAAATTGCTTCGCTATGATCCGTTTTCATTTCTAATTAGTTGATAAGAGAAACAATAAAAGTCTATTCATCTCATCAGATTCATATTCAGTCATTTTCACCAGAAACCATGTTGATCTATGGTAAATGAATTATGAGCAGAGATGCATGGTGTCTAACTGAGGAATGAAAAGCTTCTTAACTGGATATCTCTACATCCCAGGGCTAATGTTCACTTCGACATTCTACTAGCCACCATCCATGTCTGCTAAAAACACTTGTGACTCAGTGACAATATGGAGGCAATCCGTACAAGATGCACATTTGCCAAAACAGACTGATCAGTTGTGCTATTACCACATCAATGGAAGATTCAAATAATCAATACACACAAACTGAATAAATTCCAATATTGGATGTAACCTCGCAAACTCTCATCATGAATTTAAGATTCCCTACCAAATCTGCGGCTTTATATGTCGACGTGATGTACTTGTGTTGCATAGAACCTACAATTAATTAGAGATGAAAATGATACTTACAAAATTGAAAATGCTCAAGATATTCATGTAGCCTCAGCTAAATTATCGATGTTAACTAAACACTAGATTTTGCATACTGCAATTAGCAACGATGACACGGACATAAAGTGTGTGAAGTAGAGGTCGATAAGACCCAATGTGGAATTAATTTTCCTTCGTTATAATCACATAATCGACGTTCATGCATCAACAACGCGTAATTGCTGATCACGAAAGCACTACTTGTTGTGAACTAGACGAACAGCCTTATATACTTGACAGACGAAAGTGAGATTGTGAATGAGTTGAAACAATTCTATCTACAGAACTAATGACCAATAGTGATTTATACCATGTTTTGGTCTGTAAAGTAATAAAAACACGTAGTTATTGATAGGCAAACAACATGACTACATAAGAAGTAGTGGTCAGATGTTTGAGATCGACAGAAATGACCTGCGTGCCATTCAATATTTTGACTTACTTTTATAATCTTTAACACTTTCTTGAAAACATGCAATCAGTTCCGGTGAAGTCAAGTAAACTTGCGCTGTATAGAAGCAGAGATATTGAACAAATAGCAAACTATAACATGGTATGTAATTACAACATTTAAATAGATAACAATAATAATGGTTTACGACTCCCTATGGACAGTATTCAGGATCGAATTTGATGAGGCACTGTTTCCATAGGAACTTTCCGAGAGTATTGCCTGGAAATTAAATTTTGCTATATGTGATATGTTGAAATATGTGAAACTCAGGACAGTCATTTTTTTCAGCTCCACATCTGTCAGCTGAACGCGCTTTCTACCAGTGTTGGTGTTCTCATTGAAACTTAAGCATAGTTTCTTTCAAAGTGTTGGTTTGAAGCAAGAATTTCTATATTTGAGCCGCAGTGTGAATAACAACATAGAGATCAACATGTATCTATCCCGACTGATCCCAAAAGGGATAAAATAGGGGTCTTGAATTTCATTGGTAAACAAATACTCAATATCAAAGTGGGGTTGTGTAGACAGCTAAGTTTTGGATTGACATCATGAATCGATGAGTGTTAGACCATTCATACGAAATTCATTAAAATTCAAAGCACAGCATCATTCGTTTCAAGGAATTTTCGAAGTTGTACGAGACGGTGTTTCATATATGTCTCATCACCTTAGAGTAAACTATGAAACAGTCTTTAATGTATGTCAATGTGCTCCAAATGTTGAAGAGTATTCGGTCATTGAAATTACTCACGATATTGTCGCCTGTAATTTGCCTGCATTTCTCGTATATCTATAAGAAGCATTAAAAGCAGATTGAAAATGAAATTAGTTTCAATATGTATGTTTATGAGGAATTTATACCTGTTGTAGTAGAGAGTATTGAATGTGGTTTGATGGACGAGTGAATATATTGCGAACTGATTAGACACGAACAAATGGATCGATGTTCAAACCAGCTGATAACGTTTTACTGGTCTAAAGTATTGGTAATCAGCATGTCGTCTGAATGTTCTAGATTCGATGTTGAGTAAAAAACTCTACTGATAGTCGATGATTCCTTAAGGCACGATTTCAATATCTAACGAATATCATCTATTATCGTTTACTTAACAAGTGAATACTTCTGCAATATGTTTGCTCACAGCATCAGAATAAAACTCAAAATTGCTTAAGCATATCAGTCTTGATGCAATATTGCACACACAATTCAATTTGATGGATTTTTGTTATGGTATGCAAGAGAATTTATAATACAGAGACAATTAGAAATATTGTATGCACACATCGACATTTAACACCTCAATGTAGACTGTCCACTAACAGAACCAACTTTAGTAGCCTCTCATTACAAGTAACTATTTTATCATAGTGTTCTGCTTGTACTTATTGTCACAGAGGAGCTGTATTAGGCCAAAGCACACATTGCGTCGTATAATAGAAGCAGATATGAAAACGATGAATTACAACTGGACGGAGCTAGAAAGGATTGCCCAGGACAGGGTTGGATGGAGAATACTGGTGAGCGGCCTATGCTCCTTCACGAGGAGTAACAGGCGTAAGTAAGTAAGTAAGTAAGTAAGTAAGTAGGGGGCTGTATTATTTTGTCAGAGTTATCAAAGATAAACTTCAAGGTGCCAAATTCATGGCATCAGTTTTATTGTAATCTTATTATGTAAGAATAAAATTTTCTAACATTGAATTTTGTCCACTTTCACACATGAAATCGATTCTCTAGTCAATGGATTCAAACAATCAACATGAATATCATGAATAGAAGTTAAACAAATGGATGAAAACAACTTTTTTTTTCTTACGAGACCAAGCATAATTGGCTGCATCACCAGTCACATAATCACTTCTGCAGCTAATGTCTAGAATCATGAATGTAATTAAAGAATTCAATTATTTTTACACATACATTCATCGATATTCTTCATTCCATTTGGATCGGAATTTTTGATTTCATCTGAAATAAACACGATCATGTAGAGTAATTCGGTTGAAGAACAAGATGATCTGGTTACATTTCAAATATAAGAGTGTGATGTATTCCACTTATTTATAATTTGATCTAACAAAGATAGGATGAATATGGTTTGATGTTACAACATCAATGACACATTGTACTAGTGGTATTCATGGACAATACTAGCAAGTTGGATCAATAGTTTATCATTCAATCGGTCAAAGGAAATGGGACATGGAACAACAACAACAACTAGAATTTTCTATTCTTAATTTATCATACTGGTCGCAGTTACCAAGAAAAAAGGTGCATTGATAAACGTTACAAGCAGCACGCTTGTAGGCAATTAAGTGTATGAACTGACTTTGTTTCTAAGATTAGCATGTGAGTCAATCATGTGCACTTACACATTCACATCAAATGATTACAGCCTATCACGGATTGAATCCTTGTGAAGTATCATCAAGCAGATTCAAATAAACAAACCTTATTTCAATCTAGATATATACACACTAGTTGTGTTCATTTTACTTTGATTTTAATTTCAGTAATATAAAAGATTATAATAATCAAATTACCTTTCAGAGATGTTATTTGATTGTTACAGTCTCTGATAGTCCGTATGAAATTGGTCATTCGATCTAAAGGTTAACCATACATACAAACGATAGTGAGTTTTATTATGACGTGATTATCGTAACCAATGGTTGGAGACTCTTGGTGACATGGCTCAGAATCGATCACAATGGCGTCGGTGTATACACTCCCTGTCTTCCCTTAAACTAAGAGATTAAAACCGCTTCATATCTTTCTTTCTATGTACTAAATCTTTCTTCTTGTACTATATCTCTATATGCAATCTTTCTCTTACATATTACTACCTTTGACCTAACCACTGCTATGAATCCGGTGTTCATCTTGTTGTGCTGATGCGGTATGGCAACCTGGACCGATGCACATATGTGCCTGGTCCTACGTTGTAGCTGACTGACTGACTGATGACGTTTATGACTCAAGATTCAAATGATTTTCTTTTATAAATGATAACGATTTTTGTTATATATTGTACAAATGTTATTTTCTATTTTATGGTACTTTGTGATCGGTTTGATTGGTATATAAACTCAGTATGTTTGGAATATAATGATTCATATTGCAGACTCTGAGACTAGTGTTCTGGACTCAACTGGCTTGACTAGACAGGGAAGTGAGACCAATCAGGATTCTAGCCTGTTCGCACGTGTTTTACACATCATTGGTCCGATCGATAATTCTCTTCTCTCTCATCGGCGATATTGTTGCGTTATACAATAACAGGTCACGCAGGTTCACAAGTTATAACATTTTTATTTTAATGGACTTATTCAATTCATTACATTACAGAATACTTATATAAATTTGTCTAATAGAAGCCCTTAGATACAAACGAATGGATTGAATTCTTCATTTAAGTAGTATGTAACAATGTGTATGTTATGAAAACGTTTCATTGTATGAATATATAGTCAGTCACTTGCTTTCTTCTCGAGAAATGTTTGCTTTTAAATTCACAAAATATAGACCATTATTTGTCTTTATTAAATCCTCAAGATGGTTCGACTCGACATCTGAAATAAGTAACAGAATATCATTACCAAGATTTGATTTGATAATTTCGAATACATTGAACATTGGGTAGATTGTTATAAATAAATAAAAGTAATAGATATCCCAATGAGTAAAGCAATTAGATTTTCTGATGTTTCGTCACTTAGTGTAAGTCACTTCTTCAGAGTAGATAAATAAGCAAATTAAAATCAATCCAAGTTTAAATAGTACAACAGAACAATGCAAGAATATTGTGTGATCAATAAAAATAACAGGTCTGAACAAGTTAATGTCATATATTGACTTGCATTCAGCACATCGTTCCAGTGTTAAGATCTCGCTAGCCTTAAATCTATTTCTGGAAGAGCTAACAAGATCATCATATCAGAAGAAGATAAACATTAAGAACAAAAGAATGTAATTAGTATCTTATAATTTAATAATTTTCCTGTGAAGATTATCAGAAGTATATTAAAACAAGACGATTTAATGAGTTTTAATAATGATTCGAATGAAATGTCATAGATTGGTCATGCAATTTTACCATACCGTCATGGTAGAACAGAAGAACTCCAAAGAATCTTAAAATAACACAGACAAATAACAAACACACTTGGAAATACTTTAGTTCGCTTAAGAGATAAAATCACGTTCATGTCCACACAGAATGTCGTCTACAAATTGGGTTGTATCGATTGTAATCTCTTCTATATTAGAGAGTCATCTCGAAAAATCTTGACTAGAGCCAAGGAACATATTAGATACACAAAGAAACTTTCTAACAATTTTGTAGAATTGAATAAACTTCAAATTAAATTGGCAATAGCAGTTCATGGCATTTTCAACGACCATCAAATTGATTTTACAAAGGCTTTCCCAATTACAAAGAAAGAAGAGTTACTGAAGCATTCCATATAATGCTTAATCCTACTTCATTCAATAGAAAAGAAAGCCTTACCATACATCCTACTTAGACTATCTATCGTAGTCATTCAGTCTGATCGTATTTACAATTTCACATCATCATCTTACAAATTTAAACTCTATCGTTTCTCATCATATAAGTCACATTATTTTCCACCTTCAAACAATACACACATACATACATATCACGTATAAATCATCTTGACCGAAATGACATAACATTAACTTGTTCAAACCTGTTTTTTTTTTATTAATCACACAATATTCTTGCATTGTTCCGTTGTACTATTTAAACTTGGATTAATTTTAATTTGCTTATTTATTCACTCTGAAGAAGTGACTTACGCTAAGTGACGAAACATCAGAAAATCTAATTGTTCTACTCATTGGGATATCTACAAATCTATTACTTTTATTTAAATAGAGCAAGAACAAACATGGATGCAGAATAGTATGGATTCATATGAATTCGAGGTTTTGTCGTCAGCTGCTTACAAACCAAAATTGTGATCGAATTTGTTTGACATGGAGATAGTGTGAACACAATTGACATAGATGAGTGTAAATCACTGGATTACAATAAGAATTATATATATATATATATATGCTAGAAACAGGTCAGAGGTCAAAAGAAGGGGGGTTAATCCAGGGTGGGTGATGTAATAATTTAGTGAAGTTCATAAATTGTGTGATAATTGTAGAGATTAATGGAATTAAATAAGACATCAGGCAGATTACGTAATAATAATGAAATAGGGTTTGGAAAGTTAAGATGATTTCAGAGGATCAGGTGATGGAAATATGTGAATAAAATTTTAAAAGACTAATGTTTGAACGAAGAATATTCTTTTCGATAAATTCTCTTCAGGTTCTACAATTATCCCATATCCAAATTAATAATCCGAAAAATTGGCCAGGTTAAGGGGGAAAGTACATCGTTTAGAGTATGTGAATTTAGGAATGAAAGTCCTTCAAACGGCTGAAGCAGTAGCCATCCGAATGAAGAAACCGGAGCTCTGCGTACAGAAGAAATATATTCAGCCACTCCTCCTCCCTTGGTCAACATCAAGGCCAATTAATCAGTCGTAATCTTAACTATTGAATGACCTAATTTGACTATGACCTTTCGTAGTCAATTGTAATTGTCCCTGTTATCTTTATTCAGAAATCTTTGTATATAGTTATTATTATTATTCGTATTATTGGTTAATCATCATCATTAATCTCTCCTATACATGATTCATTCACTTCTCATTCATCCCTCTGTATTACGTCTTACTTATTTGATCGAATTGTAATTGCACTATTATTTCTCTCTCTCACCCTATTTGACCCATATTGATTCTGATCATGGATCTTAAAAGATTTCACTTAACATATACGCAGATTCACGTTTACATTCTGATATGAGTCCTATTAACATTAACAATTTTATTGTATTTTGTTTATCACAATCCTAAATTCACATGCTCTAAACGATGTACTTTCCCCCTTAACCTGGCCAATTTTTCGGATTATTCATTTGGATATGGGATAATTGTAGAACCTGAAGAGAATTTATCGAAAAGAATATTCTTCGTTCAAACATTGGTCATTGAATATGATGGGGATCTTTAAACGATTAAAATTTTAGTTCAAGAATTAGGTAATAGGGGGGGTGGAGTATAAAATATCTTAAAATAAGTAAATGAATAAAATAACCAAAACACACAAACAAACAAACAGAAACAAAAGAGATTACCAGGGTAGTGATAAGTTTATTAAAGTCTCTTTTGGAATGCATAAATCCGGTTTCAGTTTCTTAATTGCAATGGCTTCAGCAAAGTGGAGAATGGTAGTAGTTCTTGGTCGATTGATAATTTTAAACGCGTACCGAATATCGACGGTATGCTCGGTGTTAAGTAGATGCCGAGCTATTGCATTGTTAAAAGCTTTAATCCCTCGCAGTGTCAAGTTCTTCGGGGGTATATGCTTTTATTTATAATCATTACTTCAATTGATTTTCAAGAACTGACGTTCACTTTCAAGTACACTGAGTCAAATCACTTCATGTATTGAATATCAAGTTTGAAAAGATGATTGAAAATAAAGCCTTGTAATGGACCATTGTTCAAACGTGTTATTTATCATAAATTAGTTAAAAACCGTTTATCTGTCAACCGATCAATTGAACACCTACTTATTCATCATAACATTGTAATGACAATTGATTGATCACTGGGTGGTGATCAATCTCAATCCTGTTGACTACCTCCAACCACCATCTAATCTCATTATAACATTGTTTCATATCGTTTAATCAGTTATTTTCATTATGTCATACAAATTCCATTAAGAAGTCAAATAGTATTTGTATTGATTCATTTATGACTTCAAAGTAACAATTAAATAAAGGTTTCAATGATTGAAAGTTGATGATTATGTTTCGACTGATGGACAATTATTACTATGACAATATACAGCATAATTGATACTTCAAAACAGAAAGATCAATGATTGACGAATAATGAATAGTTTTCAATGGAAACAAGCATTTTCCTACTTAATCAATATTCCGGTCAATTATAGTATGACATTTTTCTAGAACCTTTGTTAATATTAATCAGAAAATAGGCCTAAATGACAAATGTATAAAACAGGCAAACATGCCAAAACAGTATTTGAAGTACAATAATTAACACAAATAGTAAACACTATACATCAGATTTATGAAATCATGTAAGACTGATGATGATGACGATGATGGCGATGGTGAAAATGACGGTGATATGACTCTGTTTGTACACTGGATGAGACGTGAATATCTCAGCATGTATTTGTAAAAGTGCATTTTCAATAGTACTGATAACTTACCAGTCTGTTTGGATGTTTGAAGGAACAAAAGCAGTGAAGCAACGTGAACCAAAACCAAACGAACCATATTCATTGAAACTACAGAATTTATTCTTCTGCTTATATACGATGATAAAATGAACAAGGAAGATGATGTGAATATTAATTACCATATAAAAGATTAAACAATCTAATTAACATTTAGAAACTATGCAAAATTCATTCAATGAATGAATAAAGTACAGACAAACACACATTGCCTACATTCTTTGACCGATATCAGTATCTCTAAAAGAATATTCAACCATCAATGAATCAAGTTCGTCTCATTATTATTCAACGATGAAGTCTGTGTTTTCTAATGAGAAAACAGTTGAGGGTCAGACGACCTTTGAAAAGTAAGACAAATAAACTAAACAGTGTTGTTTACTGCTAATTAGATAAGAGAAGTTCATCAAAATCAGACAATCTATAAAAGTGATATTCAGATAACTATGCATCTGAAAGATTTATGTATTTCGCTTGACGTGAAGATAATAAGGCTCATCTTTGTAGTTACCTCCATATTTGACTAAAATGCTTCATCTGATATGTTGTCTATACCTTCTACGTCATACTGATAATCACTGTACAAATACACCGGAACTCGTAACTGATAGTTAAGATGGTGGCAGTTCCCTCAGAATGCACAAAAGAGAATGGAGACTGTTCGATTTTGTTATTCAACACTTACAACACGAAGATGTCATTGAAACAACATTTAATTTATGTTAATTGATAAAGCATTGAGATTACTAACTACACTAGTCCAAACTTTAACGATCATTTCAAATTATGATTTCTGTTACTGCAGTATTATTACTATTACTACTATTATTATCTCATTCGGCCCAACATCACTTCAAACTTTACCACTGAACACATGAGATGGTGATCTAGATTTAACAGTTCGAGAGAAATCATGACAGCTTTTTCATGTCATACTTTATTCCAAGAATCAAACTCCTACATTTCCGATCTACACTTAGAATAAGACTGAATTTCTTATCAATTAATTCGTTATCATTAAATTGACTTGAATTCATGTCAAGTTATTTCCTTCTGAGATTGATTATAAAGTAACTTTGAATAATCGGGAAGGTGAAAGTATTATTATTATTATTAATGGCTTTATTCAATATTATATTTTGGTACAATATAGAATTCTCAGCACAGGGTATTTCAACAAGTTTCTTGACCAAAAAAATCCCAGAAACAAAGACAAAAAAAGGGAAGAAAAGGTTTGAAAACGATCTGTAAAACTGTACAACTTTTCAAATTAGAAACATGGTTAAGAATGCAGGTTATTGACTAGGTTAACTCTAGCAACCTGTTCGTCACAGAGTATATTTGCTAGGTAAGGTATTATAGAACTTTTATACTTTTCCTTGCGTGCAAGGATTTTAATGTAATTACGTCTCGTTCTACCAGAAGATATACAAGGAGAAATATAAGTGTGAAGGGGATGGCTAGTATCTGATAAAATAACACCTGCCAGGAGTTTGCATGATTTTAAATGTCTGTCCACAACCATATTAATTATGACCTCGAAAGATTCACCACACGTCTTACTAATTGCCTTTAGCACTCTTCGCAATACAGCAAAGTCTTTTCTCAAAAGCCCGGGAAAGAATAATGGAGAACAGTAAAGAATAATAGGTAATATGCAAGAATTGACAAATTGTAAGAGAAAATGACGAGTAATTCCAAGAGCATGCAATCTCTTTATGTAGTAGGTCAGACGGAAAACCTTCTTTGATAACGATAAAACGTGGGAAGACCAAGACAGATCAGAGGAAAAGGTGACACCAAGATAATTGACCTTCGACACCGCGTTTATCAAAGAGTCTCCGATGGTACAAGCACTATGGGATCTCAAAATAGTGTTTATATTCCTTTCATGTCTCATACTAAAGTTAACAGCTTGACATTTAGATGGATTGAGTATGAGACCATTACCAACAGACCAACAATCAATACGAGACAAAAACTCATTCATTTCTATGGGATGTAAAGAGGAAGATATAGGCATACATACAGTGAGATCATCCGCGTACTTCACAAAAGTGTTTTCTGTGGAAGATGGCAGGTCATGCAGAAAAAAAGAGAATAGAAGAGGTGAAAGAACAGCTCCTTGTGGTACACCTTCCTGAGACAGTAGAGAATCTGAACTTTTTCCTCCAAACACAGTGTACTGTTCCCTTCCAGAGAGGTAGGAACACAGCCAGTTGGTTATCCAGCTGTCAGTTTTGACGCTGATTAAATTGTTAAGTAAACGTTGTCTTGGTATAGAGTCAAAAGCTGAAGTATAGTCTAGAAAAGCACATCGAACATAGTTCTTACCCTTTTCTAAGTTGAACACTATGTTGTGATGCAAAACTGCAACAGCATCTAAAGTGCTTCTTTTGCGCCTGTATGCAAACTGGTATGGGTCAGTATGCTCTTTTATCGCAGGCTGAAGTGGAAGTATTAATAATTTTTCCATGGTTTTGAGGAAAGGTGAAGTTATTGCAATAGGTCTAAATTTTACATTCTTATCACCAGATGCTTTCTTGGGTACAGGAATTATCTTCATCTTTCTCCACATTTTTGGTATGAGATTAGATGAGAAAGATCTGTTAAAAATAGTTGTGAACGGATGACACAGAACGTCAGCACATTTTTTAAAAAGGAGGTTTGGGATACCATCAGGACCCAAACATCGAGATGAATTAAGCGACTGGAGACATCCTCGTACATCAGTTTCAGTGAACGTATGAACACAGCTATTTTTTAAACCCGTGGATAGAGGGAGCATCACATCAGATGACTGACGTACAAAAGACTTATTTAAGTCACAAACATTCAGCTGGTTATCGCTTCTAAACTTTCTGTCACCTGTAAGTTCTTTAAAGAATTTCCACATACTTGTAGAGTTTTTGCAAGATAAGAGTTTTTGAGTAAACATGCAGTTGAGACGTCTAATCTCTAGGTTTATCAGACCATTTAGCTTACGAACTTCATTTGAGTTCTTCTCCTTGTACATTCTTTCTTTAATCCTCCGTAGTCGTTTTAGTTGTGAAGATGTAAGCCGATCAAAACTTACAAAAATGGTTTCAGTGGGACAACAAATATCAAAACAGAATTTAAGGTAACAAGTGATAACATCAGTAGTGTTTTCCAGTGAGTCATATGTAAATAATTCTCAGTTAGTCGTATGAAACACATTTTTCAGATTTCGGATATTTTCTTCTGAGTAATTCCTATATTTGACTTTCTTGGTTTGATGTAAGAGTGTACTCTTCCCATGCTTTCCATATACTTTAGGTAGAACACGAATTAAACAGTGATCTGAGCTAGACAATGGAGCACGTTTACGAGTCACATATATACCCACATCATTAATGAAAACGAAGTCTAAATGAGCATCCAAACGAGTAGGAAAATCTACTACGTTTTGGTGACCTAGTGACGTAAGGAAGCTACAGTCACATGAATTGAAATCACCGCATACAACTGAAAGTGAATCACTGAAGGCAGTAACAGCGAACTCAGTGAATTCATCAGCAAAAATAGATAGTGCAGATGATGTGCAATCTGGAGTGACATAGATATTAGTAACATAAACATATTTGTATTTATTCAGATGTTTTGGACGACATCTTAGAGTTAGACAGTCGATAAAGTCATTTGAAAACTTAAAACACACAGACGAAGATCGACACCAGTTTATGTTTACAAACGTAGCTACACCGCCACCACACCTTTTTTTATTGTTCGATCGATCCTGACGATAAATTTTGAAATCATGTAGTGATACAAGGCAGTCATCGTGTAAATCATTCAACCAAGATTCTTGAATTGTGATGACACCACAATTACGATACGTATTTTGACTAAGCAGGAATTGCAGATAGTCCACTTTGTTGATTAATGATCGGCAGTTAGAATTAAGAAGCTCGGGAATCGACATACGATTAATGTTCATTCTCTTTAACGCATATTGCCAACCACCACGATGCCTTTTATAGTACTTTTTCTTAACTTGTGCAGCGAAAGGTCGTAGGCTTTTCATAAAAGCGCCTGAATAGGTTATGCGATTAATGGGCATAATTATAAATTAAAACAAATAAAAACTGATAACTTGTTGAAATAATCAGATGGCAGAAACAGGTAGCCCAGATATTCAAGCAGGCCGCCGTCGTACTTGATTCTTTTGAAAATATTCATAAGCATTGTGTATATTCCATACTTTATATGGGTACAATCACTTCTGAACATTAGAAAACTACTATTTTCAAATGTTGATCACTTTTCTACTGTTTGATCAATGTTCATGAAATATTTCTTAAATATATATTTATACTACTTTTATGTTGTTAAGTATAATTTGTCTGTATTCCGAAAGGAAATCATATAGATGTAGGTGTTGCTGCTTTAACCAAGATTTATTTTGCAGAACAGATGTTTTCATAAGCTGTTCCGATTGATTAGTGAACAAATACAGACTGAACTGTAACTAATCACTGACTTCTTTCATTTTCAGTATTATCCACAACATGCATCAAATTCTTCTAAATGAAATCAATCAATTAGTTTACTTATTAAGGCGATTGTGTATGATGTTGGTACAGGTATTGTTGCCTATCTGATTACTAGAAAACACCAACGTGAAAGTCGATTTTTGTCGTTTGACTAGTTCAATGTGAATGTATGTGTTTACTTGCCCTTATGGAGCTCACAGAATGCAACTTCGTCAACTAACACTGTTCAAAACACAATCTGTAGTATCGACTATCTGCTAACTAAAACCATAACAACTGGCAATGATATAAGCACTGGACTGATGGAGTGAAATAGTGACTTACTGAACTTAGTTACTCAGTGGATGTTGTGAAGGCTAGATGTTCAGAAATCATTAGTGAATCTATCATTTTATTAGTTTGCCTGTGTAAGTTCTCGTTTCCTACGTTAATACCGTAAACACCCATTATTACGTTCATTTTTCTATTCTAGTGTGATTTTACCGACGTTTTTCAAGGCAACATTTGCATCTCATATATACGTGTGAATCGATTGCTTGTTCGTTCGTTTGTTCGTTCTTATGAACAGCTTGCGGAAGAACTATTTATTCGACCTAATATGGTTTTCCATCTCTAGTAAGTCATACTGTGGTGCAGTGGAATAGCTTGGCTTGTCTCGTAGTTGTATGGCTAACAATCGTTGTATTAGGCAGCACTAATCCCTCGAATATAGCAGTGCATAAAGTGTTATTTAATAAAAGGGAGCAATACTGTGGTTCAGCCTGAATTTTATGATCGCTGCAGGTTGAATGTTTGTTTTATTCTAGTAAATGACTAGTAGTGAGAAACTCATAGTGTAATGATACTTGTTAGTTAGTTAGTTAGTTAGTTCATATTTATACATGAACTCCAGTTAGAAAAGGTAGTTTCAGAATGTCGAATGAGATGAACAGATTGCGATTAAGTTTTGGATTAGCAGAAATCAGTTGTCATTTCAGCAAATGACTATCATTCAACAATTTTATTCACCAGATTCTCCTTACTATTCTCATTTCCACCATCCACGATTTCAATTCTAATTGTAAGTGAATAATGTTGAAATTCAAACACCGGATTTTGTAATGAAGGAAAACTTTTTATGATTCGTTATTTTGATAGTAAATAATTCGTTGTTACAAAATGTTGGTAAACAAAAAAAACAACAAAAACTGGCTGAAGTCCGGATCATTATTCTCAAATTCAGATTAGTTTACTGTCGATTATCATCTAGAATTGAAACATAAAGATATAGAATGATAAGCAATATGATAAATCACACAAGTGTATATTCGAAATAAACGAATGGACAGAAGTAAGACGGTTGAGTAGATCTTGATCAACATGATTGGATTTATTTCTTCACAACATGATAGCGATCTCACTGATGTCATGTTTCAGATAATCATCGCGTAGTCGGTCAAGTGTCAACTGGACTCGGGAACATTTATTCAATTCTACACTTCACTAGACTGTATCTCAACACAACTATTTGAATAGATATTTCAATTCAACTGGAATCTTGTATTGAATCTAATGAACTCAGCTGTAGTAGTTCGAAACTCTACTTCACTCACTTTCATCATTCAAGCACACAGTCTTTATACAACACGTTTCCATCAAATATTATTTCATATAATAATTGTCAGTAAATGTGATCCAATAGGTTACTTACTTATCAATTTTATTGCTTCTAATAGGAATCTATTCTCAACTGAAATTTGAGTAAAAGAAACGAATCACAGAATGGTTGAGTGTTTTATTTACTTCAACGTCCGTCTCGTCATTGGTGAGAAGACTAAGAAAATGAATTAGTGGTTGTTCTCCTTTAATGTCACATATGATGTTTGTATGGACAATTGTCCGATAGGTTGTTATTGTTCAACATTGTTGTTTATGCGAAAGTGATGTTTGGTCGAATACTTGCTATCGAATTAGTCTGCAACGTAGAACGCTATCTCACCGTCCATACTTTGATATTATAATTTAGAATTGTCACATATATGATGGGTCAGTTGTGCAAGAACGTCCGAATTCGGATTAGTATGAATAAACTGTTTATTTTTACATGTGACATCCGTGTCTTTTTGACTGTGTTCATTCACATTAAACCATCGGATTGAAGACTAAGTGGACATTTCATATAATACAACATTTTATGGATAACCATCGTTCAGTCAATTGCATATGGACCTTACACAGTTGCTTAATTAATCAATCAATCACATTATTCAAATAGGTTTTCTTACAGAGTTCCACATACAGATTTTCAACACCACGGTATTTCTGACGAACAAATACATCTATTCTTATTATAGCTGAAATACAAAATAACTTTGGTTAGGGAAACTTCCATACAAATTGTTTATTTGAAGACATATTTCAATGTATCCTCATGGTCGAAATAATGAAAAATATTGTATATTAAAATGTGATGGGCGGCTGAGGAAGAATACCAGATGGTCACATTGACCTCCTTATCATTGCCACATATTCTCACCCAATTGTCAATGTTATTGTGAATATTTAGTGCATGGGATCAAAATAGATATTTTACCCTTGATTCACTTGTCTAGATTTGTACTGTAGCATGATATACATCCCCCATGAGTATTACGCCCGTTATTATTGGTTTCGCGTTCTAATGATACCGGAGGTGATAAAACTGTCGCCTCATTTCCATACCTCATTAGTTTAACTAAGTCACAAACCGGACATAGACGGTTCTGTGATTTTAGGTTTGAGGAAGCACCAGTTCAGTGTAGTGAAAGAAAAAGACACAATTACACAATCTAGAAGACAGGTTTGTAGATAAATAAAACATTTTTGTGAGTGTGAATTTCGGTAAGGAATGTCAGGTCATGTCTACCATATTCTTTAATATCAAGAGAGATCATTTAAATAGAATTACCTCTCTTTCTATCTGGTATCAGCCCAATACAATCCGTCAAACTGTAATCAGACTTCATCACTAATTGGTTGATAATTAAAAGGAAAAACAACAACAGTAAAAGACTATTCACTTCACTAGTTTTATATATTCAGTCTGATAGACTGTTTTATTCTTACCTGAAACCATGTTGATCTGGACGAAAATAATTGTGTTCAGAGATTTATGGTGGCTAACAGAAGAACAGAACACTTACCGATTGAACAGCCCTACATGTTAGGTTTAATTTTCAATTCGAGATTCTGCTAGTCATCATCTCTGGTGAAGACACTTGTGACAATATCGAGGCAATCCGTACAAGATGCACGTATACCAAAACAGACTGATCGATCGTAGTCTTAGACATCGATGGAACATTCAAATAACCAATACACATAAACTAAATAAACTCTATGTTTGAATGTCACCACGCAAACTCTCAATGTAAATTTTAGATATTCCACCACACCTGCAGCTACTATATATGTCAACGTGATGTTTCTGTGTTGCATAGAACTTACAGACAATTCGAAAAACACTAAACAACGGATGATGATGATAATGACACTTAAATGATTGAACATGGTCAAAATCTTCACACAGTCGCAGCTTAACCATCGATGTTAACCAAGTACTAAGCCTTGCAATACTGCAATTAGCAACGTTGATAAGGAAATAAAATGTATGCAGTAGCGGTTGGAATGATTATAAGTAGTGTCAATTTTGTTTCATTATAATCACATAAACGACGTTTATACAGCAATAACGCCTTGATACTTATCACGAAAACACTACTTGTTGTGAACTAGACGAATAGCCGGATATATTTGACAGACTCAAGTGAGGTTGTGAATGAATTGTCACAATACCATCTTAATAATTACTGACCAGCAGTCATTTATACCATGTTTCTGTCTGTAACGTAGCAAACATCCGTAGTTCTTATTATTGAGCAAACAACATGGATAAATTCTCATGAAATTGTAAGAAGTGATCAAACATTTGGGATGGATAGGAATGAACTGCATGTAATTCAATATTTTGACTTACTTTCATCATATTTAACACTTTTCTTAAAGCTTGCTTCCAGTTTCGATGGGCTCAAGTAAGCAAACGCTGTATGGAATGAAAGATATTGAATAGATATCAAACTATAACGTGGTAAGCAAGTAAGTACAACATTTGGATGGATAATAGAAAGGGTTTGAGATTCCCCGTCGACAGTATTCAGTAGTGAATTTGATGAGCCACTGTTACAACATGAGCTTTTTGAGAGTGCTGTGTAGAAATTTGATTTGAAATACGTAGAAACTAGGACTGTCATTTCCTTCAGCTCTAGATCAATCAGATGAACGCACATTCTCCCAGTGTTGATGTTTTCAATGAAACTTAAACAGAGTTCCTTTCAAAGTGTTGGCTGGATGTGAGGATTTCCGAATCCTGGTATCAGAGTGAACATTCACTTTGAGATCAACATGTATCCATCCGACTGATCCCAAGTCGGATAAAATGAAGGTCTTGAATTTATTTGGTAGACAAATAAGAAATACCAGTGTGGGGTTGTGGAGACTGTTAAGATATTTATTAAGAACATGAATCGATGATGTTGGACCATTAATACTAAATGTATTAAAATTAAATGCACAGCATCATTCGTTTCGAAGAACTTCCGAATTTATATGAGACGGTATTTCATATTTGTGTCTTCACTTCAAAGTAATAAGCGAAACAGTCGTTAAAGTATTTCAATGTGCTCCGAATGCTGAATACTATTCAGTTACTAAAATTACTTACGATAGCGTCTGTAGTAATCATTCTGTATAAGCAGGATACCTATAGAAACCATCAAAAGTACATTGCAAATTAACTTGGTTTCAATGTGGATGTTTATGAGCAAGTTATATGTGATGTGGTGATAAGTGAGTGATGTTGGATGGTTGAATGAATATGTTGCGAATTGATTGGACATGGAAATATGAAACGATGGTAGAGGTTTTGAAATGGTTCCGAGTACTCACCCGACATGATGTGATAATCTCAATAAACCAATCGATAGCGCTTTATTGGTCTAAAGATTTGGCCCACATGACAATGTCTGGATGTTCATGATTTGGTGTTTATCGTTGTTGATAGTGCACAACACCTTGAGTCGAGTGTGCATTATTCTTTGACTTGTGTTAAAGAACGGGAGATTTCAATCACTAAAGTATAACATGTGTTCTCAACTGTTTAACATATGATTACTTGTGTAATATCAGTTGTGATGCAATATTACACTCACATTCCATCCAATTCAATGGATTATTTATGGTATGCAAGAGACTTTCTGATTCATAGACAACTGGAAATATTACGACCACATATCATGGTTAAACATGAGATCGATTTGTGATTAGTGGTTTCGAAAAGTCAACATGGAAATCATAAATAATGAAATGCTGAACTGGAATTAAACCATGTAATAAGAATCAGTTTTCTTACGAGTTAAAGCACCAGTCACTGCATCACGGTTCCAATAGTTGCTCATGCATCTGATATCTAAAATCATTATGGTAATTATTGACTTCTATAATTTTACCACATACACTTATCGATTTTAAGCATTCTAGTTGAAGGAAATGTTTTGAGTGCATCTGAAATGAACATGATAACGTAGAGCAAGTCAGTTGAGGAACAAGTTGATGTAATTTACATTTCAAAAATAGTATTATGTTGTGTTTGAAGTAGTTATGATTTGATCTAACAGAATCCCGTGAGCGGGATCGTGGATGCGCACTACTGAGGTGACGAAACGGCCATCCAGTGCTTACATGTTTCCAAAGGTGGTCTTATATCAATCGGTTCATGATCTCAATCAGAAATGAGATGGATGAGGTAGGTTTGATGTTACAAGATCAGTCATATATTCTACTAGTCGTATTAAAGGACAATACTGACAAGCTGGATCATTAGTTTCCATTCATTAGATCAGAGGAATTAGGACGTCAAAAACACCTGAAATTTCACCAAAACATACAGATATCATTATTGTCTCATTGAGATTTTCTATCCCTAATTAACCATATTGGTGTTTGTTACAAAGACAGTTGGTAGGTCTCAAACACCACTTTTATGATCACTCAAATATGTGGACTAATTTCATATCTTAGATTTCCATGAATTGAATAATCATGTCGGCTAACCGAGTGCACTTACTCACTCCCATCAAATGTTCACAGCCTACCACGAATAGAATCGCTGTAAAATTCGAGAAGTACCATCAAGCAGGTTCAACTACACAATGCATATTTTAACCAGGTTCTTCTCTCTATAGCTTGAATAGTGTTAATGATAGAATGAGTGTGCAAACAGAGAGACAATTAAATTTCACACAGAGAGACTGAATGTGACTTTCATATTAATCACACTTATCAATGTTTAACGTTGTTATGGTTGCATTGTTCAAACAACTGGAAATACAGAACACGAATAAACACTTGTTGTGTGAAGTTTGTTTTGACTTTCAATTCAATAGTGTCAATGAGTATGACATATAAGACTGAATAATCAAATTACCTCTCAGAGTTTTTATTCTTTTGTCAGAATCTTCTATTCGTTCTAGAGATTACATATACACACACACAAATGACAAAGAGTTTTATCATGAAGATTGTTATTGGACAATCATATGGTTTACTTGTTAAAGCATCTATCAGTAACATTGAATATATTAGAGTGATTACATTACAGAACATCATGCACACATCAGCAAATAAATAAGGAGCTGATATGATTACAAGAACACTATTATACATGTACTAAATTCAAGTCCTTGGACACAAACAACTGGATCGAATGCTTCTTCATCTAAATAGTACGTAACAACATGGTTTGTATGAGCACATTTGATTGTATGAGATACATTGTCTATAAAATTTAAAACAACCGTTACTTGCTTTTCAATGCAATAACCTTTTCTTTGAAATCCTCATGATGGTTCGATTTGAAATCTAAAAGAGACAAGATTTAACACAACAATGAGTACTACAGATAATTATTGAAAATGAACTTTCACATTAAAGTATATTGATTCAGTATGGGGGTTGTGGAGATTGTTAAGTTTTTGGTTGAGATCATGAATTAATTGACGTTAGACCACCGTTGGAAACCTGGAAGCACTGGACGACCGTTTCGTCCTAGTATGGGACTCCTCAGCAGTGCGCATCCACGATCCCGCACCCCGCAGGATTCGAACACAGGACCTAGTGGCTTCGCGCCTCAGCAATTAACCATTAGACCACTGAGCCGGCATCCAATGGTGTTAGTGTCTAACATCCATTCAGATAACTTCAAATATGTTTACGTCAATAGTTCAGATATTACTCAATATGGACCATAATTGAAACGATTAGATCATCATTCATAAGTTGTAACTGTTTGTTGATCAACGAAAGAACTAACCTGAGGTGGATGGTTTGGTCGTGGAGCTTTCATCGTTCTTCTGAACGACATCATCAGCACAAACTTTAGATAGAAGTCTGAAGTTTGTGCTGATGATGTCGTTCAGAAGAACGATGAAAGCTCCACGACCAAATCATCCAGCTCAGAGAACAAAACACCACCAAAATCATCCACCTGAGCTACAAATCTTCTCCACCATCTCAAAGAACTAACCGCCTACTTATTCATTGTAACATTGTGTTCAAAAGAATCAGATATTTCTACTGAATCAATGTTCCTATCAGTTTCTGTCAATCGGTTGAATTCATAAAATGAATTCATCACACAGTATACTTTTGTCTAAAACCTATCTTATAACTATTCGGGAAATAGGCATAAACAACAACTTTATAAAACAGACAAACCTTCTCAAACAATACTGGAAGCATAACAAGATTTAAAACATGACTTAGACTGATGACAACGATGATGGATAATGACAAAAATGACATTGTTATGATTCTGTTTATACACCAGATCAGATGTTAATATCTCAGCATGTATATGTAAAAGTCTATTTCAAATAATACTGATAACTTACCAGTCTGTATGGATGTATGAAGAAGCAATAGCAGTAAAGCTATGTGAACCAAAATCAAACGAGCCATATTCACTGAAACTACAGAATCTTTTCTTTTGTTTATATATCATCATATAATGAAGGTGGGAGGAACGATGACAATTATTTACCATTTAAATGATCAAACAAAGTAATTAACATTTAGAAACTATGCAAGATTTAATGAATGAATGAATGAATAAAGTAAAAAGGTGACAAGTTTGATCATTTCTTTGACCGACATTGCCATCTCTCAAAGAATGTTTCAAATGAACAAATTCCTGAATAAAATCTATTGTTCTAAGACAAACTCAATTGATGAATGAATTCATTATTGTCTGAACAAAGAAGATATGCTTAGTATTTTAATTATCGGACGGTTTCTAAACGTCATGTCTAGGTGAATATTTATCTGGAAAATATATGTATGTTGTCTGATGAACGATAAACAATGTGAGATTATTCAATTCTTTTTGTAACTTACTTGGCAATGTTTCCAATAAAATTTTAATTTACTTTCTTACACTTTCTCACATATTTACTTACATCCTTTACACCTCGTGGAACATAGGCTTGAAACCAGGATTCTCCGAATAATTCTATTCGCTGAAGTCCATTTTTAAATTCTCTTCATCTAGTTGTTTTGTTCTCTGACACAGTAGTTTGTTGCTGATGCTTACTGACCAACGGATCTGGAGTGTGTTGTGTAGTTGACTATTCATAAATATTCGCTTTAGTTGATGATGTTTGTATTAGTTCAGCATGTTTTTGCTCCGTACAATGAAACTGTCATTCCATTTGCATTGAATATTTTGACCTCTGTATTAGTGGAAAGTTATTTTGAGTTCGATATTTTCTTCATCTGTAGCGATATTGTCCTTCGAAATCCAGTCACCATCCATAAGAGGAAGGAATTCAGAAATTAGCACATGTGAGCTATTCTCCATACACGACTCTGCATTTAAGTCATTCATAAGATATTTTTGTGTAGATGACCTACTCAGGTACTCCTTTGTATCGTGGAGGGTTCGATAAGTTTCTGCTATTCACACCGTCACATGCTTTATTCTAGTCAAGGAAGTTGATGTTTTGGCAATGAGTTCCGTTCAATTGATTGTTCAACAACGATCTGTAGCGTCACGATGATAATAAGGATCATCCTTGTAGTTACCTCCATATTTGACTTGAATGCTCTAGCTGGTATACTGTTCAGAACTTCTAAGTCTCCACTAGTCCGATGATCTAGCTGGCTTCCTGGATTGTTGGTTGAGCGACATCTATAAGAAGGTCAGTAATTGCTTCCTTGATATCCAGTGGGTTCGGTGGAGTCGGTCAACTCAAGAGTTCGTCGAAGTGTTTTATACGCCCGTTCTACTGTGTATAAATTTAAATGATTGGATTATCTTCTTTGTTTTCGATTGGTCACTCTTCACTGTAAAATTTAGTTTTCTCATATTTCCTTTTCTTGCAGCTTGTGGGTTTTTTAATCTATTTCTGCTTGTTGTATCTGATGATTCTCTTCACTCACTTGTTTGCTTCTGTGTATTTGGCTTGTATTTTGTCTTTCTTTGCGCTTGTTTCACAGTGGTTGATTACTGTCTCCTCGTTATTCCTCTCTTGAATAATGCCCAGGTAACGGTCATGTGAACCAGCAGCTTTTGACATAGTGAAATTGATGCCCTTTTTAACCCATTTCCAGTTGTTATTCATAGTATTTTCCTACACTTTTAGTGTATGTTGTGAGGTTACAGACATGTTTTTGAATGCTATTTTTCGTTCACCCAGTTTATTTTCATATGATATGAAGGCTATTTTGAACTCTCATGGTGTTACCGACTGTGATCTGTTTCAACAGTTAGTGTTTGGTGGAAATGGTATGGCGGCTCGTGAACTGAGACCATTCAGTAATGATAATGATAAGAGGAGTATTAACTGATCACGTATCCATGAATTTAGTAATGTCAAAAGACAAATGCGGGCCATTTAGGTTGCTTCTAAATGAGTACGCTGATTTGACGAGGGTATCATACGATAACAGAGATCTTAAACATACTGTACAGCACCATGTTATAACGAAAGGCCCACCGACTAACGCAAGACCAAGAAGGCTAGACCCGAAAACGTTGAAAATTGCGAAACAGGAGTTCGAAAAATTGATGAAGCTTGGTATCATCTAATAGTCCCTCGGCATTCCCGTTGCATATGGTTCTTAAAAATGTATGAACAAATCAGGCCATGTAGAGATCATAGAGCCTTCAGCAGGTAGACTATAGCAGACAGATATCCGGTACCGCACACCCACGACATTACTACCGATAAAGAATATGCCACGATCTTTTCAAAAATTGTTCTTGTTTGGGCTTAATACCGCATTCCCTTGGCGGCAGAAGATATACCAAAAACGGCTGCAGTCACTCCATTTGGGTTATTTGAGTTTTTGCGGATGCCCTTTGGTTTAACTAATGAAGATCAAAACATCAAACAATTCATCCATCAGGTTGTTAGGGGTGCGACAGGAGTATACGCATATATCGATGATTTGCTAGTAGCTAGTGCTACCGTGCATTAACATCTACAACAACTACGACAGTTGTTTACGAAACTTCAAGAACATGGCGTCACTATTAACGCGGAGAAGTGTGAATTTGGAAAAGAATCATTCCAATTCCTAGTTCATATGATAAATTTTCAAAGTTCATGCCAGCTAAAACAGAAGTTGCTGCTATTCGTAATTATCCGTTGCCCGATTCACACAGAAAGTTACGAGGATTCTTGGAACTAATAAACTATTATAGGCGATTCTTTACAAACTGAGCAACAATATTACAACCATTGACGGACCGTTTGCGAGGACGTAGTCTAACATTCCGTCTATCAACAGATGCCACACAGGCTTTTGAGAACGCTAAGCGACACATTCATGGCCAGGCTAATGAACAAAATCGGTTTCGATGATTATAGTATTGTTATAAATCGGAAATGTGAGCCACAGGATGCTTACTTCGTCATTTAAATGTCTACACGTTATTGAGAAACTTTGATTGTCTGGATTCTGTCATACAGAGGGTTGTGTATATTGTCCACAGAGAAGCCCCTGTTGTCGACACCACTAAAAGTATGAGAATGATCTCGAAATTAACGAATGATATTTAAGCTGTACAACAATTCGTTAACACAGTACTGCTCACGTTAAATGACTAACACCTCATTCACTGCTATGTCCGAAGGATTAGAACCGGCTAAGGCAACAAATGTCTGCAACATAACCAAACCATTCCACTGCACTGTAGCATGGCTAATTAAAGATAGAAGACCACATTCAGTCGGGAAAACATTTCTTCTACAAGCGGTCCGAAAGAACGAACGAACAAGGACTCAACTCACGCGAATATACGAAATACAAAAATGCCCAGGAAAAACGTCACAAAATAGCACACTGGAAGAGAAGTTGAACCAGTGACGTTCAAGGTCCTTTCAGATAGGAAACACAAACTGAATGTAAAAATAAGCGTTTTTGGCATGAAAATAGGAAGTGAGAATTGGCTTATACGCCATTTGTTCGCTTAGGATTCTGGAGCCAGCCCATGTGCACCATCGGTTTGGAATGATGGTTCCCCAACTCCCCTAAGTGGACTCTCCATGTCCACCGACTCGGTTAAAGCGCCGGACATTCGCTTTTCGTCTTCTCGATTTCGTAAACAACACCCCCGCCACAAGAAGGCAATCAGTAGGACTTCCCTGGCAGAGGCTATATACGCGTGGCCATGTTAGAGCATTTCGAGAGGGAGAGCGGACTCTCCCCACTCCCAGCAGTACCAAGGCATTTGGGGGCCACTCTGGGAATGATCTTGTCATTCTTAATTTGAATCGGACGTGCTGATGAAGCGAATCAATACGGCTGCAACTTACTGATTAAGAGTTATAAATCTGTTCCGGAATCGGAACCATGTAAATGACAACTGATGGATAGTGTACAAATGAAGGATTTATTGTGTGGTTTCTAGAATTTACAAAGAATTTTGAACTGGAAAATGAATTGGTTTCCCACACTTATTCTCCGTTCACTGCATGTTTAGTTATCATAGTGTCTAGTTCGTCTTGATGCGTAGAGAATTAAGTTATCTGATCGACTGGTTATTGTAGGACATGGGCAAATTTTCGATGTGTTTTTATAAGTAAGTAAATACGGACCACTATAAATGAAAATTAGGATTGGTTAAAGCTGATCACGTCAAGCGACAGGATGCTATTAGAATATATTCGTGTGTTCATATTATGGACAAGACAACATGTTATCCAATTATATATGGGGAGTAATAACCTGTAAAGTTAGTATACAATGGAAAATACAGGACAATGATGCAACCAGCTTTCTGACAGTGAAATCGACATGACAAACTGTTTTCATACGCATAAATCTGACAGTATATATCCAATAATTTTGCAATTCAAAGGTGATATACGTATACATCTGTCGATGGTTTTATGAATAGTCTGCGACGCTCAGTGTTATGCATCATGGTTATAGTCAATTGCATATTTTAGAACGGATGACTTCATATTTTTATGTTGTCATTTACCAAGACAAACGGATCATTGTTCACTTATACGTCAAATGATGCTTCTCAATGAATAGCCTATGTATTACCTAGCTGTATAGGAACAGATAAACTCATACATTCACATTGAACTGGTCAAAACCCCTTCTGATAATAATCATCTGCTCACTAGTGACTGAATTCAAGAGATACTCCTGGAGTTCAACCAGGTCTGTTCTGAGATATCAACTCACTGAAGACAATGGTGTACGGTGGCGAAACTTCGTGGATTGGTTGAAGTTGGACATCAACACCGTTAGATGCCGGCTCAGTCGTCTAGTTGGTTAAGCGCCTGACGCGAGACCGATAGGTCCTGGGTTCGAATCACGCCGAGGGCGGGATCGTGGATGCGCACTGCTGAAGAGTCCCATAGTAGGACGAAACGGCTGTCCAGTGCTCCCAGGTTTTACATGGTGTTCTAGCTTCAGTTGACTGATGATTTCAATCTGTGAAATTTCTAAAATCTCCACAAAACTCCTTCTGACACAACTTGTCTTTTATATACTGAAAATTAAACAAGTCAGTGATTAGTTACAGTTCAGTCTGTGTCTGTTGACTAATCAATTGGAACAGCTTACGAAAAAATCTGTTCTGAAAAATAAACCTTGGTTAAAGTAACAACACATACATCTATATGATTTCCTTTCGGAATACAAACAAATTTTGCTTAGCAACATAAAAGTAGTACCTACATATATTCAGAAAAAAGTTCACGGACATTGA